TCAAAGTTTAACTGGCATATAAAGCAATTAGTCCCTTTGATAGATCTGGATGGTGTAATAATAGAAGGATTATCAGAACTGTGTAATATATTAGCACAATACATTTCGAACATTTTACTAACCCTCCACTTACCTATTTGACCTTTAATATTATAAATGTTTCTTATTCAACTGATATGTTATCTTTAACATTAGTGAATGGTAACTTGGTATTACAACAACTGAAATCCTACTTTGAGGGTGAATTTATATCTTAAAACTACAAGAGCAAACACATAGACGTAAATTAGTTAAAGTATCTGCAGGATATAACTGAAGGTGAATCTTATGACTAAATGTGCTAGTGAGAATAAACTAAGAGTTTGGTTGTTTTTAATGTGATTGAATTCGGTTTTGAAACTCAGTGATTATAAGTGGATTGAAGACGTATCGAAATGCTCTAACATAGACACGCGTGTACAGCTACTGCAAGAGAAGTCTAACGGATCGCTTTCTTGCAGTAGGGGTATTGTTTACAAAATTGAGAGGACGAAAAGCAAATGTCTGCTACTTTAACCAGGTTGATGGATATAGAGGATCAGCCTAGGGGAATTGTCAAACCCTGATTCCAAACCAATGGTGCATGTAGGCTCCAGAATCCTGAGGGAACAAACGGCGTGTGAACCTATTGTCAGTCACTGGCTACCATGGGACTGAATCAAACATTGTTCCACTGCATATAGACTAGATCAGTAGGTCAAAGTGTCGGGTAGTTGCCCTTTAAAATCACCTGATACGGTTTGGGCGCTCAAGCAGTGTCTCATTCCTTACACAAATCGAATAATGAAGTGCGGTACATTTATAATCTGTGGCTCCTTGTACCAATATTTATGTGATTAAATAAATAAAAAAGATGTATCCAGAACTTTGATGTACTGCGACGTATTGTAGGCACCCAGACAGACTAACGTATTGGAAATGGTCTAACAGACTGTACTGTTTGGCTGGTCAAACTATAGATAAAACTTACATCTGAAGACACAGAATACCATATTTTTACAAATCTGCTGGTTGGTACCACATAGGGGAAAATATTTGCTTGATCAACTCAACTAAAATACACTTGAACGATGACCTGACAGCCCGAAAACACAAGTGATGTTGTGAGTGAAGTGAAAGTTACACTTATCAGGAACTTAGAAAAGCATTCATCTTAATATTACTTATAGACAGTTATAAGCAATAAATCCATACACTATACACGCGTTCTTATAACTGGGTCTGCGGATTGTTAGCTACTACAATCGTTTCCTCTGATGAAAACTCAACTGCACAATTAAAGACAATGAACCAATTAGTACAAACAAATGATTAATTACTGAAGGATAATTTTCTACCACTTAGTAAACGATTGTCCAGAATGGTTAATAAGCCCAAAGGACTCTAAAAGCACTAATAAACACCAGAATCTAATAATTTTAACAATTATTTAATGAGAGAAATGGGAGATGAAGACAAATTTGCTGTGTTAAGTGGGATAAATCATATAAGCCTATACATACTATACAGATTTGTAGTCATTTTTGTGACACTAGGCATGTTATAAAGAAGAACAGATACGCTAAAACTGGGACTAATGTCGCCAAACACAAGGTTAGAAAAAAGTTGAGACCAAATACTGCATAGCCCCACGTTACTCGCCAAATAAAATGTAGGATGTTAGCAAAGCTGTTTTACAATTTTAGTCAGCATGATATGTACAACAAAACTTCGCTTGCCTACTGCCAAAATGTTATTAGGGAGATGAGAAAGTGAAGATGCGATAGAATTCTCCAGAGAAGTCACTATTCTAAACTAATCTGGACAACCAATAAATAAAGGTCGCAGTAACGAAATGTACAAAAGTAGCGCTAGACGGAAACGGAGATTCGTTTTTACACGAAAGTTTTTATTTTGATGGTGAGTGGAGTTTTTGATCACGTAGATGTAATGTTCTCGTATTATTCTCTCTGAACCTAGGTGTCTAAAAACCAAATCAATGAATGGAGTGATCAAGATTAGAGATAAGGGCGTTTCAGATATTTGGAAATAGACAACGCTATTATCCTTAGACCTTTATAATCGAAAGGCTCAAAGCCGGTCAAACCAGAAGTCAGTAATGAGAGAGTTCGGGGACATATTTGGATTCCGGTCGATGCGTCGAGAAGTATGTGATCTAAGCTGCCCTATCGTGACTTGGTGAATATGGCTGATTGAGTTTCTCCAGACAGAACGCGTCCGATAAAACGTGAAAAATGAGCATCATTATCAAAGACTTACACGGCTTTTTGTCTTGAGTAAAATATATCACTTGTCGCACTGATAAGCTAGTTCTACTGATTTCTCTTAAGTGTGAAGTATGATGCTCATTCGTCTACTTCCGCTCATGGTTATACAGTCATAGGATTGACTGTAAGATGTATGTAACGCCTGACTTTCAGACCACTCGTTTCTTCGTGAGATTTCTGGCCCTGTTAATGTCAAAACACTGTGGAACGTGCTCATTCTCCCGTATCATTTAACACTACGTAACCACAAACTCATCAAACAATTAACTGCACTTGTAGTATCATGGTCTAGGTTGGTAATAGTACACCTATCAATGTTACTAAAATAATAGACCTCTCCCACAATTGTAGATTTTCCATGATATGACTACCTGATCTGTCTTTAAATGGAAACTACATCATTATCTATACTGACTCGTCTCATAGCGAAAATAATGGAGGCAGTTGAGGACTTTCGAATCATGCATTTATACACATATATATATAATACGAAAACAGGAAGTTACATAGTGGCTATAACGCCTGCATGGTGGAACCATACCATACTGATTAAATGTTTCCCCGTTCATCATTCATCGACCTCCTCAATTGTTAAATGTTGGGTGAACACTTACTTATTTATCTCATGTTCGGCTTCAAAGATAATGTATTTTAGAACTAATACCACTTTCGACTCTTTGTAGTTTTTTGCAAACAATAATTTTTAATTAACGGGTTTTTATATTAGCGGTTATTATCTTCTCTTGAGAAACTCCGAATGAAGTGGGAACTTTCACGTACCTTGACAGCATCATCGATGAACGTGAAGGGTTTAAATCGGACGTAAAAGCAAGGGTTGTCAAAGCAAAGACGGTATTCCTACAGCTGAAGAACATATGGGACTCAAAAACCTCTCTTTCAACCAGTATCAAAGTCAGAATCTTCATCATGAGTATTGATAAATCATTTTCTACACAAGGTATTCAATGTTCGTTGACTGTATACCATCAAAAACAACCTGCTGAGGGAGTGAACAAGCTGGATTTCAGATGCAGAGGAAGTTGAGAAAAGCTGTTGGAAGTGGATGGGATACACATTGTGAAAATCAAATTGCATCACAATATAAACGCCAACTCGAAATCTTGTAAAGAAACGGAAACGAGGAAGACCAAAGAACACAGCGTCGAAAATAGGAAGAAGATTTGAAAAGGATGATCAGTAACTGGAAAGAACTGGAAAGGATTGCTGAGGACAGTGTTGGATAGCGAATGCTGGTGGTCGGCCAAAAAGGCGTAATTAAGCAAGTAAGCAAGTAAGTTACTATCTCGTTGTCCATTACAAAATTGGCTTTATTTGTGCAGCTACAGAAACCTTTGTAAGATTAATAATATTTCGGTATAATTTTTGGCTTTATTAATAGGTTGTGACATAACAAGTGTTAGCGTAAGACTGGAATCAGTCAAGAACTACGAAGTGAGTGCATCACCACTGTTATGCATTAACATATGGTAATAAATTAGAGTGAAACACCTTTCAGTATATCGATTGCTTATCCTGTTTAAGTTTTCTTTGAAGAAAAGGATATCTGTGGGACTTTGATTTTATCCGCAAAGTAATAGAAAGCTTCGAACGGCGTGATCCTATGTTGATTTTTCAGGTGATCTGGACACCATTCAAGCCTTTCACAACCCGAAAAACATAACTTATTCGCATCTAACAGTAACCAGGATACTGTGAACCCTAGTAGCTATACCGAATGAGCAATCACTCTATAATGAGTTATATGGAATTACAAAACAGGAGATCGTACCGATGGTCGTATGATGGAGCGAAAGCCTTGGCGTTTTGCCAACATGGTCGCTATGTCAATTTTGTCCAGGATAGCTTTGTTAGGATGACATGGATCATCAAACGTATTGTGACGTAAAATGAAAAGCTTTCGTCATTTTGTGCAGAATCCGATGCAACTCCGAGCTGAGGAACCAATATCTTGTTCGTCAACCGTGAGATAGCGAAAATCTGTCTACCGTTTCCCGAAAAATTATCAACCGATTATCATTGCAATAAAGCACATGCCTGCGGATGAATATTTTTAAAGAAACTGCTAGAAATTTTTTTCAACTATCTCTGATCATGTTTATCATAATTATGATGTCTAATTCAGCAACAGCTATGAAATATTGATGCGTAGTCTACCGAGTTTTACCCAGTAAATAATGTGTTCGATTTCAGACACCGTTTAAAATCAACATTTTAATACGGGGTGACTCAGAAGGGATGATATGCTTTTGTAAGTATCGCATTTTTCATCTATGCGATGGATTATGTTGCTTCCATTATTTCGACTGTATCTTCTAGCACTTTAGTGGTAACATACGCACTGCTTTGTTCACATTAACAAATTTTGTGTTGCGCATTTACCACAAAGGCCTAGTGACGTTTGCTATTCGTTAGTTGTATGCATATGAAAAGTTGGCGCGAAACGAAGAGCTTTACCGAATTTATGTAACATTTGGTGTGTGTAGTTAATAGATAAATCGAAATTTAGTGTCAAATATCACTCTTTAAAATTGATATAACTATCTGTTATTTAACTGGACATATAAAATGCTCTAGGTAACGAAATTTTGTGACTAACGCGTATTGTTGTTTGAATGAATCAATTTACATGTATTTTTTCGTTTCAAACACCGCTATTTATGAATGGTCATGAGTCATTATCGTTGTTGTATAAGGATAATTTGTCTGTATAATTCGTATTAGTATCCTGGTAAGTATGTATTTAAATAAATAAGTGATCCTTTTTGTGTTATAAATAAATAACTCGCTTTTATTTTTGAGCAAAGAAATTAAAGGAATTGTTAAAATAATTTATGTACGTATTATGCTTTTTAGTTGGAGTTTTCTTCGTTCTTCATAATAAAAACGTTGAAATATGTGTGAAGTTTAAAACTACTAACATCACGTCTAATACGTTCTTCTTTTCCTAATTTAGTGCCCGCAATGAGGTAATATAGTAGCATAATTGATTCCTCAAAGGTTCATTGGCTGAAAATCTAGTTATGTTTGTCACTAATGACGATTTTGTTGTCTTGCGTTACTTCGCAATACATGTGTGTACATAAATGTGTATGCATTTTTCTCTTTGGTTTTGTGACTGTATGTTTGTGACTTGAATTCGTCGAATCAATCATTGGCACATTTTTCTTAATATTTCGTTTGGCTGTATGCATCTTAGATTCGATTTTGTTATCATACTTGCAGAACCAAATAACATGGTGGTGAGACTATAATTTATGGACGACCTTTGAGCGACGCTAAAGTGACTTTGAGTGTTCACCTTATAATAAGAACGAAATGAGGGTTATAAACCTGTGTGAGGAATTGGAATTATGATTTACAGTTCATGATTAGAGTTAAGAATTAGATTTAAGGTTTTCGTCACGAACTTATATAAGCTATAATGCCAAAACTCTATTTAGCCAAATGAATGGGTGAATTTTACATCAAAATTCAAGACCTATTATCTTATACTTGATTGGTTCGTCCATAAATTATAGTCTCGCCGGTGACATATCGTGTTTCATCTACCAGTTATATTATTAGATCGGAATAATTAATGCACAGGATGAAGTTCTTCCTTTCCATAGAATATATTATCTAGTGGGCACTTATTTTTGCGTGTGACAAATTCTAATAGTGGTAGTGGTGCAAATTATAAAATTGGAATTTATGCTTATCTTTGTTTTTTAACTTTGGGTATGATTAACGTCCGCATTTCAAGACCTTGTCTGAAACAATCAAGTTGATTGCCACGAGTGAATTTGAAAATAGAGATTGATTTTTATATCCTCAATAAATAATGTGTATTGTGGTCTTCTAACGTTGAAGATACGGTAATTTGTTTAACAATACTGTGGAAAATTGATGCCTTAAAGTTTTTATGTACTAAAAAAACAAAATGAAACGTTTAGTTAATTCGTAGATGCATATAGAACGTTCTTGCTTGAGCGCCCCAATTTGAACAACATTTTCCACGTTTTACTCTCTACTCTGGAATAGGACATAAGTTTTTAGATATTTTATAACATGTAATTTTGCTGAATATTTATTTCCATTTTAAAATATAAAGCGTTTTAATCCTTATTTACTTCTTTAACTAGAGCTTATCATATAGGTGGTCTGTCGAAACTGATATTCCCAGTATTTCCACCTTATTTATAAGAAATGAGGTGCCTTAGCGACAATTTTTAAGTGTACAAGACTGTACATACATTAAACAGTTGTTTTTTATGGGCAATTATTTTAACAAGCAAAACTGAAATGAAATACTAAATAGAGAAATATGTAGGGTCCGATTTTTTTGTTCTCTGAAAACGTGGTAAGGTTTTGGACTTAAAGCCGTCAAGGGATTTACACATTTTTATAGATTCTATTTCACATATTTTGTAGAAATATGTTATTGAAACAGACAGAAATAAAAAAAAGGTAAAGAGAGATATTTTTGGTTTAATTCACCAGTCTTCGTACGTATCGACAAAACTGTTTGATATTTTATCGTGTTCTGGTTCATTCAGGTATATTTAATCTTCTTAAGTTTATATGATGTTAATTAGTAAATATTTTGATGCCAATAAGCCCAATTAGATTTTTGCGCTTAGAGATATTTATTAGGGATTACTACGCTTAAGGTCACACTGGTGCTTAATCACATGGTCCTATGGAAATGCTTGCCAGAGTATTTATGATAATGTTCACACAGTATCGAAGGGATTTTTGGTCACATTCTTTATGAAAATCTGATTTTTATGCTATAAATAGTCAGACAACGTCGCTGCAGGACGCGAAAAATATTGATTTAAGCTCACACTGCTACACCACTTCATTAAATGAACAAGATAACTAATAGAAATGTAGAAACAGCTGCAACGTCTACGGCAGTAGACAAGATGGAGAGTAGAGAATATGATTTGGAAGAATGAAGAGGAATAGCAGAATAAAGTGATGAAATAATGTAGAATTTCAAAATTTAAAGAAAAAAGGAGGATAAATGCTTTTATATCATTACGACTGACGTTGATTCATGTTATCGAAGGTTTTCAACCGTAGATCACAAGTTTCCTGTAGATGCCAATCATTTTTGAATCTTACGTATTATTCTTTTTGATAGCCAAACAATGGGAAGAAAATCCATTAAAATCATTATTTCTATTTCTTCTTAGTAAACTGAGTAATTTATATTAGCTTTTACAGGTAAACAAGTCGTTTCAGTTTCATATTGTTAAGGTTACACTTTAAAGTTTAGTTTGATACGATATATCTTTGTACTCACTTGTAACTTATCTAACAAGTTTCATTAGGAGGTGAACTATTTTTTGGAGATGGAATAATCTTTTATAAGATGTAAATAAGACAAGAAAATGGGGTTATTATAAAAAATAACAAACAACTTGAATAAATCACCATTCAAAATCATTTTGTAGACTATAGAGTACTAGTGTTTGAACAATATAATAATTTAAAAGTATTTTCATTTTATAGACGTATGTTCATTGTTATTTGGTTTGTTACAAAAAAATCAGTTTTAAGTTATTTTTTATGCACTAATCATTTATTAAATGCCTAAAAAATAGTTCAGCCATCCCACCCAATGTCAACGAAGGAGTTGAGATAAAGATGTTTCAGTTGAGGTTGTTATCCAAAAATCGTAAGTAAACCTTGATGATAAAAACTAAAAGACGGGTTTTCTTCTTAGGGTACTTAAATTATCAGGATGATTGGAGGCCAATTTAATAAAATTTTGTTTGAGTTAAATTTTATTATCACCTCATACTTGTTAAATTCATTTGTTCTAGTTAAAAAGTAGTTTTAATGTATACATTCCTGTCTTTTAGCTTTTGAGATTGTTCTCAGTTGTGAATGAAATCAATTAGTTTCATTTTATGGCAAAATGTTCTGAGAAAGGCTAATTTGAAACATTTTAAGTTTAAATCTTTGACATTAGCCTACAGAAAAGTGTTAGATGCTTGAGTCCAATTAATAATCAGTTTTGGATCAAGATTTCATGTTGCTTATTGTCCATAAGACATGATATAAATTTCGTTCAATCCAGTATTTGATACCGTATCACCAAACATTTTATTTTTTGTTAAGTTTAGACACAAATCTCATGGATATTTGTTAGAAAAAACCACAAGATGTTACATCACAATGATGTATTCATTGGTTTTAAGTTTTAGTACTGTAATTAAGCTCGACACAATTTCTCATCATCAACTGTAGTAACTATATCACGTTTATCGGTCAATAAAACCTTTGATTACCTTGACAAATTACAAACATAGCAATCTATGGTTTCCAGGAAGTGACCACTTCATTTACAAAACTCATTTTGATGAATTTTCTTTTTATTATTTCATTTTTTTTCAATAGTTGATTTTTAACGTCACTGTTTTTCATTAAAATGCTGTTATTTTTCTATTCTTTGGTGATTTAATTTTCATTATTGAATTACATAAATTATTAACTAGGATAGAAAACATAGAGTATCAGTGTTTTATTTATCCAATGCCTCGAACTTATTTTTTTCATCGATGAAATATTTACAATTCTTATTCATTGTTTACAAAATACTATAGGATACATAATCGATTAACGTTTGAAATAAAACAGTAGTTGTACGCCTTTCAATAAGATATTTGTTGCTAGGATATTACTGGTTCTACTTTATACTATGTTGGAGTCAATAGACAGGGGTTTAGAATTGTTAAACCTATTACAGTGACAAAAATAAAGTCACTATATATTTATATAATCAGAGATAAAGGGGTTTTTTGGAGATTGTAGAATTTCATAGTTCATTACATTCAATGATCTTAGAGAGCCGCTTAAAAAAACGAGAATCCATGGTATAGCTGTTACACGCTATAATGTTGATCTCTAGCAGTGTGGACTTACAACCTCATTGCGGATCGACTCCATGGCTTTTCATGGTTTATAGCAAGCACTCAATTTTTGGACCGCTGAGTAGGCATCCTAGCACGACCATGACTGAACACCACTGAGGAGTCCTATACTAGAACGAAATCGCCACTTAGTGCTTTCTGGTTTTCAATCGTTCTCTAAATAAAGTCAGTTCAAGATGTAAATTATGGAACTCAGAAAGGTATAACTTGTAAACTAACAAAGCCAGTAGCTAATATACATATATATATATATATATATATATATATATATATATATATATATATATATATATATATATAGGTTTATTTGCATCACACATATTATTCAACTGTATGGTATTAACACATAATAGGTATATTCTGTTCAATTGAAGAGTATAAAATTTTAATTATTTTTCATATAAGTTGACAAATATCTAAATAAACATCAAATGAGATACTGGAAAAATAATGTTCATTGAGGTTAAACAGACCAATGAACTGTAAAAATATACAAATGAACCTGTAGTTTTTCTAAAGGAAATTCCTCTTCATTATATCTTTCAATATCCGATTTCATTATCTCCTCAGTAGGTGGTAAATATTTACTGTGCTTCAATTTAAACGCCGTTGGTAAACTAAGAAAACACTTATGTTGATGTATTATTGATTAATCAACTTCAATCTGTATTAAATCAGTATTTGTTATATGTTATACAACTGTTATGTTATTCAGAGAAGTAATCTAATAAACATAACTATTAACAATCGAAATTCAAACCACCTAGTATTAATATCTTTCTCCAAATTCTCAACGATTGAAAAA